TGCGATCGGATCCTTGCGGTTGAGGTCCAGGGGTGCACACTGCGATCCGGAGCTGGCCAGACAAGATCGGCGAAGCAGATTGGCGATGAAGATTGGCGAGGAAGGAAGCAAGGAGGAAGGAGGAAGGAGGAGGACGAGGAGGCGGCGGAGGCGGAGGCGGAGGAAGAACAACTGTGATAAAATCTAACAACCCTCACCTGGCAGGTGGGGAATAAAACATACATTTTAAAGGAAATCTAGTATTTAAAGAAATACTATATTATAACACTACTTAAAATCATAAAACAGCGCACTCTGACAAACACCCGGACTCTATAATAAGTATATTATATATATATCAGGGTGTGCTGCAACTGCTGGAACGGTATCGTGTGAAGGATCAGTGTCCAACAGTAACAAGCACAAATATGTTGTTGACTCCAGCGTATGCGCTTTGACAAGCTGAATGTGAAACGAGTTTAGGATGAGAGATCGTAATTTCATGAGAAACCCGTTGCCAATCACTGTGATAGGCTCAAAACTGGTAACTCCAAGAGAGGATTGCCCGTATTGTCTTCAGCCCATGGTCCCAGGTCTGACCCACACCCTGTGGCGATGATGCGTTTCACAACTTAGAGAAACCTCTCGCTCCGCGTTTGGGTTGGCCCGACCACAGCTGCTAAGGCAGATGGGGGCGATTCGTGCCCGGAGATAAAACTATAAGGCTGCTACACTAAGGTGCGGCTTTGCTGCGCTGTGAGGCATGGGCGCTGTTGGCATCTTCATGGTGCCGAGGTTCCTAACAGCCAGCTGCGCTAATTCTACACGTTCCATCGCCTTCTTCAACGATGATAAAGCCCTTTCAACGCGTGGGATCGGGATTCTGCCCAACTGAGGCTGCGCCTAATTCGGAAGAAAATCAGGACACTTTCTGCAGAAAAGAACAGACCTGCGTTGAACATCTCTTTTGCGGCAAAAAATTGTACGGTACGTTCCAAATGTAGCCCTTTCCAGCTTGAAGTGACACTTTTCGCGCACTGGTCTTCTCTTGATTGAAGCTGGAAGAGCTGAAAAACACAACGCTCAGCTAGAAAACACAACGCGAAAGGCCAAAAACATGACGGCAAAAAAAAAGACCTGACACAAAATCTCAAACATAACGCGGGAACCGATGACACGACGCAAATTCGACGCAATATGACGGCGAAACGGTGTCATCGGGGATGACGAAATCAGTCATGTCATGTTTGATGTGTTAACATGTTTGCCTCCACGCCCTTGGTTCCCTCAGATGCCCCGCAGCCCGCAAATGTGACCGTGCGGGACAAGACCAAGGAATCTTTCCGTGAGGCAGCCATCAATTGGATCAAGGTGAAGGCTGCCCTCGCTGGATTCGATGATGCTGAAATGGAATCATTGCTTCGGTGCTTCAAGCGAGGTGACCTGGACCCTTCGCTGAGCAAGACTCTTAGCAAGCCCATCGATGTGGATGCAATTCTGCAGTAGCCACCCTTGAAGGGCTTGCTGTATCTCCGTGGACAGAAGGAGCGTGAGGAAATGGAACGGCAATGTAAAGAAGTTCTGGCTCAGACTCAGAGCTGATCTGACCGCCGCCCTTGGACACATCGATGCCATTGGTCAACTATCACCTAGACCTAGACAGCTCAAGGGCAAAGGCAAAGGCACTCCGATAGTTCTACCTGATCCAGCCGACGATCCTATCACCAGCACAACACAAGCTGAACTCATTCATGGCGAAGAATGCGGATGCACCAGCTGGTAGCTGCTCAGCAGCATGAGGCAATGTCCCATCTGCAAAGCGGAATGCTTGCCGGTGAAATGGCAACGGCGCAGAGCCGATGAGGCATGCACAGTCGCTGTGGAATGTGGCAACTGCCCCACCATTGGCGGCCGCGCCCTTGAGCTTAGGGGAACATAACACTAGAGTCATGGCCCCCAAACCAACATGAGTTGAAACTGGCCAGGAATGACATGAATTACGATTGCGTCACGGACTATCCTGACAGGCCTGGCCCGCGTCGGTCACTGATTGTAGATTTTAATCCAAACTTCAGCGCCTGGATCCAGAGATTCTTCAGTTGATTCCATAGATTGGGGATTGGAGTTTCCAACCCCCTTGACCAGTTTTTTGAGCCAAGGGACTGGGTGTTTTTTGTTAATTCTGGGTCAGCCCTGCCCTTTTGCCTCTCCTATTCGCACCCAGATTCAGCCTTGGCCTCAAGTTCTGACAAGACGTTTGTTTTGTCGTAGCTGGATGTTGCTGGCAAGTCCCTCCACAAAAACTGTGTTATACTGTCAATCGAATTGCAAGCAATCTCGGCAGATTTGTTTGGTTTCAGGTTGGGTTTCCGACAGACCCGGCCATGTTGCAACAAGATACAGTGTGAGTCCTGGATGCACCTGTGTATATTGATGCATCTTCGAATATGCCATGGGCACCCAAACAAGGATAAACACGATATAAACACTTTAGAAATCAGTCAAATTCATAGTAATTGGTCAACACCAATTTTTTGGGCCCACCTTTTCTCAGACTCATGTTCTTTCAAGGACCCAGTAGACCCAGATGATTTGAAACAAAGCAGAAGATGTTCTGGATCCATCAGCCTGTTTGCTACCCCGACCGCACTCGCAGGCTGGGCTGTGCGCCCAACAAGTGGATGAAGAGTTCGGAGAGTTGGGCTCACAGCCCTGGTGCCCTGGTGAAGAAAGAAGCACCTTAGAAGTCGGTACCTCTATACAAGAATGGGTACTAAGTACCTATTACAAGTACCTATAGTTCTTTTTAGGGTCGACGAACGACATGTCCCACGATCTATTTTTTCGGGTACTTGAAGTCGGGTCCAGGCAATCGCAGTTGTCCAGTCTGGAGAAGTCACGTGCGATTTCCAAGATGTTTGTCTCAATATATCAATATATGGGACGGCTCAGGTTGAAACACTCACTCCGTCTCACCCACCACCCAAAGCGTTGTTATTGGATGGAAAATCATCAGGAGGGTCCAAAAAACAACCCTTTTGGGTGGTGCTGGAGTACAGAGGACCCTTCTTTTGTACTTCACTCGCGCTCGGATCTTTATTTGGGAGGCACGGGGCTTAGGTTTCGCCGCCGCGCGAAGAAGGAAGAAACGGACATCCGAAAGGAACCTGAGATCACATGAGATCGGTGGCACCGAAAAGGTTGTGTACCCTAGGGCTCCAAGTACCTTCAGAGAAGGTGTTTGGAGTGGGTGCCAGGAGGGTCCAGATACCTTCTGAGGAGGTACTTGCAGCCCTAGGGGTATTAAAATAGGGAGACCTCCGAAACACCCATTGGAAGAAGAGAAATAGACCAGAAACCATCGGCCCAGGGCCCAGGGCCCCCCTAATAAAATACAAACCCCAATAGGCTGTGTGGTGTTTATGTTGAAATCAATGTTCAATAGATCCACGACCCACAAGTTGACAAGGAAGCTTCATGTACTTTACATTCACCTCTTTTTAGCGGCTTTCGCTATAGACACCCCTACCAGCAGGAACCTGGTGCATGTGGGAAAAATGATCCAGTTTCCATGCGAGGAGATCGATCGTCACATGTCTCGACGCCTCCGACGCCTCGACGCCTCGACGCAGTCGTCTATCCGCTCCGAGGGATCCTTGCCACGCAGTGGACGGAGAAATTCATCAAGTCCTCCGACCTGCAGCGCGCGTTCAGCGCTGCAGCGCGCACGAACAGCGCGCGTTCGGCGGCACCGAAGGGCATGGGACCGGGAAGTGACCGTCCTTGAGATCCCGGCTGAGGCCACTTAGAACCTAAAGAGGTCACAGACAGAGACTCCAAAGAAGGTCACGTACTGAAGGTCCTGGTAATGTGTGCACAAAATTCCTTTGGGTTGCTTCTTGTGCTAGCAAGTTGAACATCTTTGGGACATGTCAAGAGTCTTGAGTTTGTGGCACCAGGTTCGGCACAGCACACCGGGATGCGGCATGATGATGGCTTGGCCACTTCGAGTCCTACATTTCGACCCAGCAAAACGCTGGGCTTGCTGAGGCTCTTCTACATTCCAGAGCATGAAATTCCACAGGCACGAGTTTCGCGCGAAACTCTCGTGTTGTCCTGCCCGAAGAATGTCACTAATCCGGCCAATGTTCTGCTTTTTGACAACCTCAAGACCTTACTCTTGCATCCTCCTGCCTGTATCCTCTACAGAATGCCACGGGTTGGGTACTGATATAGGGCATTTGTTTAGAGAAACTTGTCTTACATTCCCAGGTTTGGCATTTTGTAGAGGAGACATTTCGGAGCTTCTGGAAAATGCTGATTTGCAGGTGTGTGATTCTGTAAAGAAACATGGTCATTGGCGTTTGATGTGGTTTTAACCTCGCCGGTTTGCAGTTTGTAGAAAAACTTGCACCTGGTAGAGAAAGTTGTACCCAAATAGACGATGAAAAAGGCTGTCTCTACAACATGACACTCTCAAAATGGGTTGTCAGGTTTGTATTTGCTAATTTGCACCTTACCTGACTTGCAAAAGTAGTACCCTCTACAGAATGCATCACGCCCCATTTTCTGCATCTTTGTGACCGCTTTTCTCTCATGCTGTATCTATCCCCTTCCAGAACCTCATCATTTTGTCGAGAGTGTCCCTGTCAGAGACTTTTTAACTTTGTATTACGAGTTTGTGATTCTGTAGACCTCTGGGAACCACTTTTCGATTTATAGAATGCTTAGCACAACCTCACCTGGCAAACTCACAGGACGATACTCTTGCTGTATATATGAGAGATTCTCCTGCCATTTAGGTCAAAACAGCTTTGCCTTCCTCTACGGATCAGCACCTTCGCACTCTGCTTCATGCGCGCAAGAGGAAACACCCTTTTTTCCAGGACATCCAAGATGAGACACCAGACCCAGAGGAGACGCCGGTGAAGAGGGGAGTGAGTGAAGGATGGCCCAAGTTGCAGAAGCACTTGTCAAAATTCCTGCTGATTCATCCCCAACTCAAAAGCAAAGACTTGCGAGGGTTAGATATGTCATACCGAAGATGCACTTGGAGGGATGGATTTGAGATGTTTTGAGGTATCAATCACTTCCTCAAGGGTTTCCTTGGAAGATTTCGTGACTAATCTCTCAGGTAGGTTGCTCAAAAGGTTTGCATTCCAGGAGTCAATGGAGGACTAGAGTCACCGGGCTCGTGCCGTGGCCAACGACGAGCGTCTTTGGCTCGATCGGATTTGCCTTTAATGAACAACGGGCGCTGCCAGGACCCCACGGGAGTTGTTTTTGGACACCCCGAATTCACCTCTTTGGCAAAGGGGGGGCTTGAAATAGACACCCCAAACTCGGGGTCCTGGTGTGCTTCAGTTTGTTCCTTTAGACTCGAGTGGTGATTGACTTACAAAAGACAGAGAGAGCTGTCTGGTCGGCCGAATTCCACCGATCCAAGCCGGACCTTTTTGGTACCTTCCCAAATCCCCCAAGCCCGCAGGGCCCGCAGGGCCCGCAGGGCCCGCAGGGCCCGCAGGGTGTTGATGTTGTTCTATTTGAGCCCAAACTATAGATCTTCTTGCAGAATGAGTCATCAGGGTTTAAAGGCAATGAGTAAAGCAAGGGGATTCTCCCAGTTTTATTGAAAAGGCCTCCAGTCTCCGATTCGCTCAAAGTCCCATAGCTTCCTCCACCAAAACATCTCCATTCGCTCCGACCCTGGGGCGCGCCCATCCGGTGAGGAGTGGAACCGTTGGCTCTTCTCCTACTTCCCCTTCTCTGGGACCAGTTGTGACATCGCGGTGCCGCGGAACGAGAGCATCCGGTGCGGAACGGGTGAGCCGTTCTTCCTCAGTTCTTCGGGGGGTTCGGACCTGAACCCAGAGGTCGGTTGGTCTGACGAGGTATGTGTAGTGAAAGATTGGTTGTTCATTCAATGGTTTGTGAGGATTTGTGGCTAAGTATAGAAGCCAGGAGGAGCACATCAACGATAGTATTTTTGCTCTGGTTCTTGGATTGTCCTGTTGTTTCACTTTGTTTATTATTGTGGTCATTCCTTTGGTCGTGAGGATCAGGAACCAATTCTCCACATACCTTGTAAATGCCATCAACATATCCCGTATATTGTCTTTCTTTTTTCTCCGGGGACCCTTGCCACTCGAAGAGGGTGGTGGAGAGAAGGGAACTGGTGCCTGAGATATTTTGGCTGTGGATCATTAAGCTGGATTTACAAATTAGTCCCCTAGCGTCCAAGTGCAACCATCCTAGAGTAGATCGAAAATGAACCAGTCCGAAAACATGACTATATATAGTTTCCATCGTTGTTGCTTGGATGTTCCCAACGGCGCATTGACATCTCTGGTTGTGGAAGTGACGGGAGTAGCAGTACTCCGCGTCAACAGAAATGCGTGATATAAACCTGGAAGAAGAATGAGACGAGTGCAGCCTTTGTGGCCAGAGGGAGCTACCGAAATGGTCGCCACGCAAGTCGGGTCGCAAAATTCGTCCAAACCCATCCTTTGTGGGGCGGATGTCAGACAGAGCCTGCTGGATAACGCCAATCCAGATGAACAACTGGGGCTACTGTATAGGTAGTACATGGTAATTCGATGTAATATGGTGTAACTGTATAACCCATGACCGAACCACCCTTTCATTTTTTTCCGGATGATTGATCGCATCGTCGTCGCACACGTAGACCGCACTGTGCATCCAATGCATCCGGAGCTTGCTTCTCGGAATCCACCCTTTGGTCCCTGGGATTCCTGGCGCACCATTGGATTTATGAAATAGGCATTAAATGACTATCCAGCCATGGTTTTACGAAGGTTTTTTCGACTACAACACGCCAGGTCAACCTTTTTTTCATGGTGTTCCAAGGCTAGTGATGCATCGTATACAGTTTGCAATCACGGGGGAATCACGGGTGTGGATGTTTATCCAGCTGATGGAAGCCAAATCTCTTGCTCTTCCGCCTTGATTCACCGCCCTCCTTCGCCTTGATTCACCGCTCGGAGCCCTTTTCTGAGGCTCAGAAGCTGATGATGCAAATCAATTTTTGCGGCGATTGGGCGGGCAAAGCCTCTTGGAAATCAATGCTCCAGTTCGCTGGGGGCGAATCCCCTGCCGTCGTGTGTCGCGGACTGCGGGGGAGTGGTTGAGAACCTGATGTGCAAGATACTACTATAAGCACTTCCTCTTTTGCTTCCTCGTTCCGGCGTTTCTCGCGCTTCCTCTTGGTGCTTTTCCACTCCCTCTCCGTCTTCTTCCTCGTCATATTCTTGTTGCTTTTGCTACACTTCTGACTTTCTCCCATTTGCTCTTCCTATTCCCTTCCTCGGCTTTGCTTCCGACCTCCACACCGAAAATTCCTCCCAACCAGCGGCCACTGAATCACTGAATCAAAGTATCATCTGGATCCATTGAGATCCCCTACAACACCTCCAAACTCCCGGAACGGGTTTAAGGACACCCACGGTTTGGGGGTGAAAACCAGGGTTTTGTGTAGTTCCCTTAAACCCATCCATTCTACACCACCGTCTCCTCCAACCCGAAGCTGCACGACCGTCTCAGGTCTGGAGTGCCTCGGCCGGACTGAAAATCGGGTGATGGAAGTCTACGGCGGGGTGAAGTCACAAGTGTCCAGTCAAAAGGGATGTTCCTGTCGTCACATACCTGGAGATACCTGGAGATGTTCCTGTCGTCATCCTGAATGCAGCGCCCCAACAGAGCAGTATAGGGGCTCTAGGGGTAGTCCAGCCAGGACGGTCCAGGTATCGGTCCACCCTTCCAGGTGTGGCAGGCGTGCGTCTCCACACGATCCAGATGATCCACCTGCCCCGTTGGGACCAACGGAAAGCTGTTGACGGACTCTCGGTGCACGCCCGGTCCATTCGCGCGGAAACAGATCCTGCTTGTAATGGCTCACCGAATGCTCACTTAGCGAACATGTGTGGTCCCCTCAATGGGATTTGGTCTTTAGCCCTACCGACTTGACCAGCTTGTGGTGTCTTTGGAACTGGTGGGATGGAAGGAGGACAGTCGCATGTGTGTGTGCTGGGTCATGCTGTATGCATTCCGGAAAAGACCACCAATCTCACCTTTTCAGGTGCCGATGGCAACTGCAATTGGAGGCACAGACTTTTCTGCTCGATCCACCTGTCGAGTTCGAGGGGAGGAGGACGATGGGAACACTCTGGATCTTCGTTTCTATGCAGACATTTAGGCAGACATGGCTGGTTCTATGGATGAGACAGACATTTGCAGAGTTGGAAGATTAGATGGGAACCAATTCATGGTCTATCCTGGCCGCCAGGACCGTGGGGTGTCTGGAGCATAGTTTAAACATTGTAAAGTGAGCCCCTCAAAAAGGAAGACTACCATGACAGATGTGTTTGTACCACATGTATCAATGTATTTGCATCAGAAGGTTGGCTATGTCCATGATCTGTGCCAGCGGCCGACCAAATCAATCAGAAGACCCCTTTGTTGCAATCTCCTGACTTCGGAATCAGCGCTGAACTGACGAAACAATCCATCCACCCAGACTTTCCTCCTTTTCACCACCCGACCGATGCAGAGAAACCCCAATCTCGACCGCTCCAGTGATTCGAGTGCAATCCCCTCCCCACAACGAAGGTCCAGGCGTGTCTTGGGCTATTGAGCTTCAGTGAGTGAACACCCCAGTGACCCGCCAGGGTGCCCCACTGCCGGGCTGTTGACCCGCTGAAAGAGCTTCTCGGAGACATGGGAGTTGATCGAAAACCCCGTGTAAGGAGTTTTATATAAAACAGCCTTTCAGATGTTGTTAGAACCATCCGCGAAAGATTCGCGATGAGGTTCGCGAAAGTATCTTTTTTTTCCGCGAAAGATTTATCGAAGGTCATCGCTTTCATTGTTTTCCTTTCTACCGGACTGACAAAGAATAGAAACGCAAGGCAATCCTCCGGCAGAGCCAGTGGGCGGAAGTGTCCCCATATGTCACAGACTAACGAACTGAAGCCTCAACATTTCCGTGCCGAGCCCTGGCAGTGCGTAAAGGATTCTCCGATTCCTGTCCCCACTGTCACAGGCTAGCAATCTGGGTAGGCACAGCCCTGACAGTGAGGCAACGACCTGCAGCTGCTCTGACGGGCTGCGCAGATGTTTGCAAATGTTACGGCTTCCCGGGGAAAGCACCAGTGAAATTTCGCGAAAGATCCGCGAAAGTTTCGCGAATGTGCCGCTAAAGTCTAGGTTCCCAGCTTGAGGCCCCCCAACATTCCCCAAGCTGTATCACCCTGTGTTGGTAGCTGGCACGAGGATTGGGTTGAGTTGTGCCTGACTCTATTTGGCACAATTGTCGAACAGATGCTGCAAGTGACCCTGAGTAGCTGTGGAAACGTTCAACCATGTTCCGGCTCCTGTTGGCTAGACATGGTTGTAGGACCATGCTTCGCGATGAGGCCGCGAAAGATCCGCGAAAGATATCTTTTTTTCCGCGATGAATGGCCATTCCAGGATGAAAGAATATTGATCAACCACCACATGGGTCGCGCCTTGGGTGTGGACGACAAAGACAGACAAACAACGATGAGCTCAACTCTCCTAGTTTTAACATGGTATGTTTTTGAGGTTAACGCATCAAAACAATATTTTAGAACAAGGAAGTGTTAGCTTTCAACCAAGTGGCTTAACCAATGTGGTTTCTTCATTATTTGCATAATTATATAGTATAATGATATGCAATATGTATATACATACAATATATATATATATGTATTATTCGTGGTAGGTGTTATTTATTTATATCACAGAATATAACACTAATTTGTGTTTAAACAACAATGATATCAGTTTAATCACTAATTATGCATGTTTAATCATTATTAAGTAATTGATTAACACATAACAATGTTATTTTGGTGAAATATATATCATAGCGATATTTGTTATATACACATTTATATTTAATATTACTTATATTGCACGAATTTATGCATCTATGTTTTTGCATGTCAATATTATATTCTAATTTACGAAATAATATTGTAAACATCATAAACAATGTTCGCCACGTTGGTTTTCCTATGTGTTTACCTCAAAATTCAAGTGAACTTATATGGCAAAAAAGGTGTTGCATAGACATAACAATTAAGTTGATTATATCACATAAATACAGTTCATGGAACCATTGGCTAACAGATGACAATATGAACAGTTTTCAGTTATTTTTTTTTAACAATAATATAGCAATTACAATGAACGATCCAGAAATTGATTACACAAACAAAGTTGAAACATATAGAATAACATTATATTGCATTTTTGTGTTCAATGAATTGAATATTATCTTGAATAACACTTAACAAAATTAATACTTGTTATTGGTGTTGAAAACACTCACTTATTACAATATTCATTTTTTACACGAAAGTCAATATTCATTAATTCAACATCAGTTGCAATATTTACAATTCTTGGATGATAACTCCAATTTAATTAAAATAGGGTAGAATGAAGGTAGAGGTAGGAGTAGCTCGAAAAAAAAAAAAACACGTAGGCTGAATTGCAAAGGGCTCTCCTATTTGCTACATTGTCGATGGAAATTTAGCAATTACTTACTGTATATATCATCAAATGGTCGGTAATCTGCAGTATCTCTGTATCGATTTACAGCCTTCGGCATGCCGCCGGCCACCAGCTCGAGCCCGCATTGGCAGGCAGCCTAATGATGCTTATTAACAGTGTTCCACAGTTCTATTTTCGTTCCAAGGCAGGGACAAGATCACCTCTTCTAGGCTGAAGCAGCTATATAATCTGGCACGTCTCACCGTAGATTGAAACCAACCGGGGCAGGGCAGGCTGTCGAAACATCCGTGCGGAGAAACAAACCGTAGATTGAAACCAACCGTAGATTGAAACCAATGGAAACCAACACAAGCCAGACGAAGCAAGACAATCCACAAAACCGGTACTTGAAAATGAGTCTTCTTCCAAACTACTTGGCCTTTTGCATGTTTTCCTTGTCAGATCTTTTTATCAACCGTCTTGAGGAATTGCGAGTCGCACAAGATATTCTTTTTCACATATAGAAGGCTTCAAAGCGACCGAAGAATTTCTTGATCTGGCATGATTTGTCGTTTTTTTCTCCAAACCGTTCGAAATGAAAGACCCAGAATGACATCGAACAACAATACCCTGCTCAATCATACTTGTTGGTGCATCAGAGTTGCACATTTGGCTGGGCGAGTTTGTTGATGTTTATTTCACGGTTGTTTGACAATGAAATGGAACGAATCCGAATCAGAGGTTGTCTATTCTGATCCAGCGATCCGAACCGGCATGTCTCAGTCGAATCACCTAAGAGGAACCAATTGAAACCAACACAAGCAATGCGAACCAAGACTATCCACAAAACATGACCTTGAAACGATTCTTCTTCCAAACTACTTGGCCGTTTGCATGTTTTCCTGTTCAGATCTTTTTCCCGACCGTCTCGAGGGATTGCGACACGCACCAGATATGCTTTTTCACACACAGAAGGCTTCAAAGCGACCGAAGAATTTCTAGATCTGGCATGATTTGTCGTTTTTTCTCCAAACCGTTTGAAATGAAAGACCCAGAATGACATCGAACAACAATACCCTGCTCAATCAGACTTGTGGGTGCATTGGAGTTACAATTTTTGCTGGGAGAGTTTGTTGATGTTGATTTCAAGCGAAGTCGTTTTACAATGAAATGGAACGAATCCGAATCAGAGGTTGTCTATTCTGATCCAGCGATCGACATGTCTCAGTCCAATCACCTTAGACGTAGAGAGAGAGGGGGGGGGGGGGGGGGGGGGGCGTCAGGCTGTCGAAAAATCCGCGCGGAGATACAAACCGTAGATTGAAACCAACACAAGCAATAATAACCAAAACAATCCACAAAACACGCCGGCAGGCCGGCGGATTATCTTCCAAATTTTCATATTGCATTTATTGTATATAATGTGTTCTTATGTTCTTTATTTGTGTTATAATGACCCTAATATTGTGCAGTTTTATTAAAACCGTTTGCTTTTGTATAATCAAATTTACAAAAATTGCATCAAATATATTCTTCAAAGTCAAAAACATGAACAAAGCGCGCACAAATAATATTATACTCATGTTTCAGGTCTGGCAGGCTTGGGTGAACATGACTTCATTTCTTCCATAGCTTCATAACGAACGATAATTTTGGCTCAAGCGAGAAGCCTTCATCTGGGAGCCTGGAGACAGGAAGATAGCCCAGCTGCAGGTGGTGATGATCATCTATGCTCTCACAGCCCGCGCGGAGATTTCCCGCGGAAGGAGGGAGTGTGGATGATTGACAACGTGGCAGCGCTGATGTGTCTCATCAGAGGGCGCTCCCACTCACCCGGTCTTGAACGCATGTGTGGCCTGATACACATCATGCCATATGCTCTGCGTACTTGGATGTATTGGGAATACATTCCATCCAAGAGCAACTGGGCAGATGCAATCTCCCGGTTAGGTTGGGACGACCCTTGGTGGCGTACCAATGGATTCACACCTTTTTCCGTGTCTTGCCCGTCGTGTCTTTGGCACCTACCACTCCCTGCGGTGATTCGTGTCATGGAAATCCTTTTATGATCACAGTGTTGTGTAAATATTGCATAGCTTTTGTTTTTCGAAAGAAATGGGAATACTATATTTTTGATATATTTTGAATAAACAAGCATTTGTATCAGGCAAAGAACCGAAATCTGAGGATTCTGAACCATATATTTGATGTTTGACAGCTGTATATCCACCAAATATATGATTACTTTCTTGAAGTAATTACAATGTTGGTGATTCATTATCACATTTGTTGTGAAATGAGTGTGATTTAAACCAAATGTATCACTTAAATACCATAAAATAGTATTGTTTTTGTCAATTGAATTCGGTATATATGTTTTAGGTTTTTTCGACAAAACCATTCACTACTTGCCTGACAAAATCGATGATTTTATTTGCATTTGAGAAGTTCATTGATATTCATTACTCATGCATTTTACATAAAAGTGAAAAACATCTATTCAATCATTTTGGATTGAATATAGAAAGAAAAATGTCTGTTATAAATGTCAACGAATTGAATTTGACTTGTTTTCATATAAGACTTTCAGTGCAAACAAATTGACTCACTTAATATGACACAAGCAAAAGCGAACAACAATGATCATGGTGATGATGATTTAAATGTCAAAATTCTGGTGCTACTAAATTTTCAAAAATACATTACGACCATGCACGATCTGCAACAAAAACACGAACATCAGGTCCAAACAAGGCTATATATTATTGATTTTAAGAAAAAACCATCATAGAGCCCAGGGCCGTTGTGATAACCATCTCTAAAAAGAACCATGAACTGCATCTGTTTGACCAAACACATCACATACAACTAAAAGAACGAACGCAATTCGAACACAACTTGCTGTCCTTTTAAAAATTGAAATTTTAGATATTGATAGAGTGAAACCATCAATGATTCTAATATTTTCTTTTTTCTTTAAATTCAATGGCTTTTGCTGTATAACAATTATTTTGTTCACTGTGTACAGTAGTATATTAACATTCCTTTCCATGGTATATCAGCACACTTCTTTTCCTTTCGTTCTGCCAAGAGTGTCTTGTGTCAACCTGCAAGCCTCTGCAGGATTTGCGTTGGGTAACCTGCACTGGCAGGTCTGTCGCAAACAGACCAGCAGTAGTTTCAA